ATACTTATGAAACAAAAGCTAAAAGTCTTTTGCTAACACTTTGGTAGTGATTTTTCTTTAGCAATCATTTATTAATCAGTAGAACAATATGTGTTATATTATCGTATATTCTTTATTGACACAATATTAATATTTCAATTTTAAATATCAATGTTATTCTCAGTATGTGATTATATTTATCAGTGGTTCAGGTGGTAGAGCGGGTCGTCTACCAATTGGAGGTCAATGGACCCATCCCAGATACTCCTGTTCATGTGTCAAACCCCCACGTTACTCCAGATGCATCTTTCATATTTTGAGTTTAAGTGAATATTAGATAAGTGCTTACATATAGATAAAAGCACTGCCTGAATATGTGTGTTGTGTAATTGGATGAATTAAACTTGTTGTAGAAAGTGCTTTCAGTGCTCAAATTAAGTAGAAAGGCACTATGTAAGTACCAGCCCATTAACCATTTACCATCAAAACCAAGGCTATTATAGTTAACTAGAGCTTACTATGAAAAAAGTCCAGCTAACTGAACTGAACTAATGAAAAAAGAACAAAGATGTAGACTGTAGAGGAAACTTCCTTCAGTTCTGAACTTCTGCTTTGCCCCTGACAAATTTTAACTACAAAGGAAAATAAAATTAACCTTTTTAGTTATTCAAAATTAAACTGAACAATTTTGAATAACTGGCAATAAATTGAATAAGTAAACTCACTAAATAAAAACATTAAAAAGTTGAAATAAAAAAATAAACTAAAAGCTATATTAACCCTAATTGTGACACCTCTAAATTCCAGCTGTCGACCAAACAAGATACACCCACCTAAAACCAAGGGCTGACTAGACAACTAAAATATGATAGACCATGCACACTTTATCTTTAGAAATGTAAGTACTTGCACTTTCAGCACTTCCATGGACACAGATACTCTACTATTCATTTACACCTACAGTGCTCAGGCAATATCTGGATGCTGGAAAGGTTTATAATACATCATAAACATTGCCCAAGAAGTCTTTAACACAGCAGATAAAATTTAATAATCATAGTAAACTCTACTGGGAACTAATAACTGGTACTTAGTAATATAATGCCCACGTTATTGAGGCATTTTCAGAAGTCTTTCCAAAAACCTTCCCTTTAGAGTACATTTCCTTCCTGCTTCTCTTCCCTTGTTGGAGAGTGGTGCTTCCTTTGAAGCCCAGAACTGAAGTGGTGTTGGACATTTTGCTAATGTTTAAGTCGGCAGCTCTCATAGGGTCTAAAAAAAGTCTAACATAAGTTGAGCTGAGCATGCATAGGTTCACAGTATCCTAGCCATTAAAGCAACCAAGGAGAAAATTTCTCTAGAAAGTAAAATTACAACATTTGAGACAAAGATGTTGTTTATCTTTTGGATTAGGGGTTCTCATCTTAGAGTACCCAGTATGTTAGCCTGCTCTCAAGCACATTTGCTATCATGTGGTTTTAAATGCATGTGCAAACAGCAACTAAGAAGAGAGAGCAAGTGACTGAGAGGGAGCGATAAAAATAAAGATGAGAAGGCTAGGGCAGAGTGCTAAACTCTCCATGCAGTCTTTAAATGGATAATTTGTTGGGACACACACAAGAGGTAATACCAGTATCCCAGTGTGCAGCCCCTGTTGTAGGCCAGGCAGCTTCGGCGGCAGTGCCAAGCATCTGGGCAGGGTCCCTCCTTGGAGCCAGGCTCGGCTCCAGCCCCGTCTGTGAGTTATAACAGATAACTGCATTTCAAATGGATTACACCCCAAACACTGGCTTTGATAGTAACACCCCCTGGAGGTATGTGTTTAGTGTGTGCGGTGTCAGAATAACTGATCCTCTACACAATCTCCCAGAAGCAAAAGAAAAAAAGCAAGAAGGGAAGAAAAAGGAAGGGCACATCACATAAAAAGATCAGAATAGACAGATTACAATGGCTTCTTCTTCTCATTTATCTCTGGTGCCTGCTGTGACATATTGTAAACTGCTGAAAAACACAAAAGGAGTGTAATTTAGTCAAAGTTGCAGGAAAAAATGAGAGTGAGGGGAACAGAGCGGCAGAAGGAGACAGATGCTGTGTCGGCTACCCATCCATAATGTACCACAGGCTGTACGCAATAGAGTTGTATTAGAATGACAGCTTGTCATGTTAAGGTTAGAGGTTTGGCAGAGCGGACTGGATGCCTGGTGTGCAGTCGGCAGAGGAATGCAAGCATAAAAGCAGGTAAGACTGCAGGTTATTTCAAGTGAGGGGGTGAGACTGATTCAGAGAAACCACTTTAATGTGAATGAAGGGAAATATGTCACAGAGGCAGCTATATATTACTGGTTCTGTGACTGTGAATATAAACCTGAAATATCATCCTGATTTTTACAGAAACATCTGTAGTCTCTCCATCACTGAGATTTGAGACCTCAGTCAGACAGCTCTAAAAGAGTTTTGATCTTTTAGGACTAGAGAGGAGGAGGACAGCCACAAATACACATGCCGAGAGACAAAGAAAGATGAAGATAAGCAAGACACCACAAGGAGTCCAGGGAGGTGACAGGTGAAAAGAAGAAGACCACTTTCTCTCTATTATTTGACAGGAAATCATTTGGACCAACAAAACAGTCAGCATTAAGATGATGAAATTCAATGCAAAATCACCTTCCTGCTTGCACCAACTTGTCCATTAAATATTAATTGTGATCACATTTTTTTCACACTTTCATCAAAGCTTATGAGTCAGGGTGAAGAAGCTGTCCTGCCATTTCCCACCCTATGTCCTCCCAGTGCCAAATCTCTCTCATGTTGGTGATAATGATCACATACATTAATGGGAAAGGCAGGAGCACGGTGTGTAGTCTTTTCCAGGCCCCACTGGTGAGGTCGATGTCAGCCCTCCATCTCTTCTCAGTCAAGGATGCTCAGAAAAAGCACCCTCACAGCAAGCCTGTGGAAATAACACGACACATGGCAGAATACTTCTTCTAATTTACCTCTTTGAGCTCTTTAGCTACATCCTTAAGATCTCCCAGGATGGTTTCCAAATTCTCCACGATTGTCTTGATCTCCTTTTTCACTTTTACTTTGGAGACTACTCCTTCAGCTTCTGCATTTGGTGTCCCTGACATTCTTCAGTTTATGGCACAATCTATTTCATGAAGGATCTCAAGTCAAATCCTTTGCTCGCCACGCTGCCACTTTGCCAACGCATTTTCTCTCTCTTTTTTGCTATGTAGTCCCCCAGCTGCCGTCACTTTTTCTCTCCTAAATCACGGCCAGGACGGAGAGAAGTGGCGTCGGGCAGCATTCTATAGCTAACACTAGGCATGCGCAATAGAGCGTAACACACAAAAATAACGGTTATGTCAAAATATTGTATCATACTGCCTGGGAAACAGCGCCCGTCCACAGGTTTATGTCCAACGGCAACAAAAAATGACGTGCCACGGGCATCCTTCACGTCGACAGAGCGCTAAATTCAACATTTTGTTAGAAAATCAGCGACGCCAGCGCTTTAAAAATTGTTTAAGCAAAGAAGGGAAAGAAGAAGAAAAAGAAAAAGAAAGAGGCAGCTGTCCGAACCGTTACACAGTTGTTCGTTACTGTAACGGTCCATAATCCTCAGGCATCGACAAAATTATAATAAGCTCCTCCTGTTCTCCACATAATTAATAGATGGTAATGATATACCATGACAGGTAACGACAACCGAGAGGCACGGTCCTCGGAAAAACACCCCGCCAGTTTCATCCTGTCTACATCGCAGCCTCCTTGGAGAGTCTGAGCACAGGATGCTCGTGCGCGGTCTCTCTCGCTGTCCTCACGCGCTCTCTCTCTCTCGCTCCTCCTCACGCTCTCTCTCCCTCTCCCTCTCTCTCTCTGTTACATCAAGAGGATGCTGCTGATTCAGTCACTTTATTTGGTGTTCTCGTCATTTGCCCTGCAAATTTGTTAACATTTCTTCGTGATTCGGAACGGTTCTGTTTGTTGCGTTCAAATAACATCATTACATCCCCACCACAGGTGGGCTATCCCTACAGTCTAACTACTGCCAGTCCCGCAATATGCATAATTAATATGCAGGACTTCTTATTATCTGTATATAGAATAAATAGTATTGTAAGGGCTGTAAAATAAATGTATTAAATATGACTATTATGAATAAAATTAGGATATTTGCCAACTTTATTTTGTTGATTAGTTAGATATGGGAATGTAACGTTAGGAGATAAAAGCAGTGATTTAAAATCAAAAACAACCAAACAATCTGCATCTCTCCAACTGGCTTTGAACTGGCTTATATTGCAACCTGTGAAGCTTCAACTTATTTTAGGCTACAGTTTAATATTCTGATTCACAGAGGAGCAAAGGAGTTCTTAAAATTATTAATTTCTCCCTGATGAACTCTAAACCATCTGCCTGATGGTAGCAACTCATACAAAGAGTGCAGAATGTACTCAGATGGATCACACAGCATTCTCTGTGATTGTTTAAGTAGCCTACATACTTGTTCTGTTGTACTGGCTCAGACCGAGTATTGTTGAACTTAACCTGCTGAGTCCTATTTGTTAGAAATGCGTTAGAGAGATACCACTTCATAATTGAAGAAGTAACTCCTAACTGTTTGGAAACTAACAGAAACTAAAGGGGGGGGGGGGGGGGGGGGGGGGGGGGGGGGTTAAAAACACTAAAAGGCAAATGAGCATATGCTTTCCTCAAGATGTTTTGGAACTTAGTGGATAATGGAAGAAAGAACGTAATCCGTGCTGAAAACAAGCTGTTTTGCAGTTTGTTTGTTTTTTTATCTTTTTCTGACTGATTATCTTTCTTGTTGTATAATTCAGATGCTACAGATTATGTGAATTGGACAATGTCATAAAACAGCCTGAAAAATTTTAATATCAAAATTTGAGGTCAAAGTACACAGATTACACGTGTAAAAAATGATAAAAACGTTGTAATAAAATCCTGGCTTCTGATTGGTCACTGCTCGTTACAGCCTCCCTATATCGCGGAAGTGGAACTTGTCAGAGTTCATCCTGCTGTCTCAGAAAGCCAGTGCTGCAGCTTTTGTAGCTTCTGTGACCCTCTCAAACCAGATAGTAAAATCTCAAAACAATGTCTCTGTCTTTCGAGGGAAGAGTCGTGCTTGTTACTGGGGCCGGAGGAGGTAAAAATCGCCGTTAGCTGAGCTGTCGACTATGTTGACGCTAAAATAGCCCCTGTATTGTTAGCACCAAATGCTAATCTGGTAGTTGTGGAGTTAGTTTCTTAGTGAACAGCCCAGTTATTAGGACGGAAATTGCATTAATTTTTTCTCGTCTTGCGCGTTTGTTAGCTGCACAGCTGCTCTAATCACGGCGTCTTGCTGACTGCTAACACTGGGCAATAACTGCAATATCAGTAAAGCAAGTCTTTGTTATTGTTATACAAAATTAGCTATTTTAATTCGAGCAGAAACCGACGTATGTCGGTCTTTTTATTTAATGGAAACGGAGATCAAAGTACGAATGTTGCAATGGCTTGTAGCTCCAGGGAAAGTGTGTGAAAGGGCATGCAGCAACGACACAGCAGTGCTGCAGGTGGTGATGGGTTTTTTCATTCTTTGGAAGTAAGCTTATACCTTTTACTCATGTGTCTTTCTTTGCACAGGTCTTGGCAGAGAATATGCACTGGCTTTTGCTGAGAGAGGTGCCTCAGTAATAGGTAAATAAAAGATATTCATTTTTTACTTATTTTACCTTGTGTTTCTATCGTAGTATTGTTAAGATGTCCTGGGACACGTGCAACAAAGCAGAATTTGGATTATCCAGGACAATGAAGCAAAGTCAAATCTTATTTATTTATATAGCACCTTTCAACATAAATATTACAAACAGCTACACAAGAAAAATTCCAAAACATTAAAATGAAAAAGTTACTTTAAAAAAAAGTAAAAGTAAATTAAAAACACTGAATTTTTGCTGCTCTTTCAAAGACATCACTGAGTCGACATATTCCAGGGTCAAAGGGAGAGCTACTGTTGGAGGATCGCTGTCTTCCTTTAGTTCTCAGCCTTATATCCTACATAGCCAGCTGACCCTATTCAAATGACCCCAGGGATCTCCTGGGGATGTACAGATGTAAAAGTTCACCGATGTGTGCTAGTGCTTGTCCATGCAGAGCTCCAAAAGTCAAAACCAGAATCTTAAAAATTGGACTCTGAAGTTAATGTGGAGCATGTGGCAGTTAATTAGCAATGCTGTGATATGTGAAATCTTGGAAGATTTAGTCAGGTTCTGAACAACCTGCAGATGTTCCAGGGAGGTTCGGGTAAGAAAAGTGAACACTTAATTATAATAATCCAGACGTGATGAAATCAATGCATGAATAACAATTTCCAATTCAGAGCGTAACACAATGGAACTCAGCATAAAGGCAACAGCGAAGCAGAGATGTAATATGAGCATCTAGAAAGAAAGCTGAGTCAAATGTTACACCAAGTTCCCTGATAGATTTATCAAATGTGGTATAGGGACATAGAGTTTCCAGATAGGCAATGTACCAAGTTAAACTGCCATGGTAACATAGCTGTAGGCTTAACCTGTGCTGGTAAACACCTAACCTGTAATTTAGTAAGTTTACATACTCCCTCCCTTTAGGGAGAGAATACTCTGTTTAGTTCATCTGTTTTTTAGCAGTCCAGCATCCACAATTTTCAAGTTATCATATTCAAATTTTGTGTGACAGTGGACACCAACAACCGCTCGAGCTGATTCCACTTTGGCGAAAATCGAGTGAAGGTCCCACCAAATGTGAAAATCAGTACAAACTTCATATTACCCACAATATTTTTTTTATTTTTTTTATGGGTTGTCCTCAAGCTTCAGAGCGTTTACTAGGCCTTGGGGGACATGAGTACCTTGGTTGGCTAAGCATTTGACCTTGACCTTTATTGTTACTCCCCAAGGTCAAAGTTGACCATTAAATTTTTTTTTTTTTTTTTAAAGAAACCATATTGAGTAATATATCATATAAAAGGGCACGGAGAGAGCTGTACAACATACGTCTTATTTTTTCAATATGATGCCATAATAGGGTTATGTCAGAATCATAAAACATCAAAGTTGTAAATATAGAGCTTGCCCTTTGGGGGAAGTTGTGATCTCTCAGTGCTGTATTTTTATTTTTTTAATTTAAAAAAAAATATTAGTGAGTATCATATTGGTATACATATTCATATTTAGCTCCGCATGGATCCAGCTAGTTTCATATATCCTGTTCATAGTTTGAACATAAGGTTTATACCACTTTATGTTCATATGACTTGCTGCTGACTACACTAAAGCACCAGCTGATTTTTACCTGAAATGAGCAAAAACGTGCAGATTGCTGCATCTGTATGATATACTGGTGAAAATACCTGCTGGTTTAGTGGCGTTCCAGGCTGACGTTGAGTTGATTTGGGATTCACTGATTCAGTTTTAAGAGACTGCGACTGAATTCCATATTACTAAGTGAAACACATGACAGTTGGTTCCAAAAATGTGGGGCGCAACAGATCTTCTGTAACAAATGTCCTGAATTGAGGTGCTATACCAAATTGGGAGAGGGAAATGTTGGACTAAGATAAATTATATTGAAATTGTCGGTAAGAAGCTTGCATTATGACTGTTGGTTCTTTTATTCTTAAAATTACACAGTTGCAGGCATAAATATTTTCTAATTTCAGTATATTCCTCCTGCCATGACTGAATTTGATCTTAACTCTGTCAAGGAATCAGCTTGCCTATGTTGTTTTCTTAACCTAATCACTCATGGAGAATTGCAAAACTCACCCCATTATTGCTAATCTTTTTCTCCTTGTTGCAATAAAGTGAATGACCTTGGGGCAGACACTAAAGGAGGCGGAAAGAGTTCTGCAGCTGCTGATAAGGTGGTGGAAGAGATAAGAGCGAAGGGAGGCAAGGCAGTGGCGAACTATGGTGAGTTCTTCTCTTCTGCTTGCTTCACGTATTTAGTTCATGTAGTGGCTGAGTGAAAAATAGTATTGATTTCTATCAGTTGGACTTGCTCAGTGATGAAACTGTTGGTGAGTATTGAAGATGTGTCTCACCTTTAGGAGAAAAAAATCGTTTTTGAAAACAAAACAATCACTCTGTTTTATTGGCAATTTTAAATGTTGACTTTTTGTCCATTTTTTTTTTTTTTTTTTTTTTTGCCACATCACATCAATACTTAAACTTGAAAGAAGAGTGAGGCCATAAGCTTTATCACTATGAAAGTTTCTTATATGCCTCCCAAATCTGCTCATTGCTTCTGTGTATATATAACTATGAGCCAACTATAAAGGATGTTCAATATAGTCAGGCTTTCTTTGCGTTAGCTGGCTTGATAAAACCCCAGTTGTAGATAACGGGTACTGCAACAGTGGTTATCAACTTTCTTTGTTAAGCCCGGATTCCTGCTTCAGCCTCTGTGAGTGCTAACATAAAAAGTGACTTTTCACATGTCATCTGACTCTTCTTCTGCACAAATTGCTGCCTGCTCCGATCATTATCACATGATGATAATGATAAAATGGTGATGACCTCTATAAATAAAATAAAAATAAAGCAGTGAAATGCAGCATCTTGCAAATAAGACAAGAAATGAATGCCGCAGAAAATCATTAATCTTTGTATTTAGTGCACAGAGAGGTAAAATAAACAGTTTAACTTGAGTTAATTATGTTATCTGATAAATCTGATGGTTTACACTGATGTAACTTTACAGCTGAGCTTCATTCATGACATACGTAAGGTAGACTGCTTAACAACTTGTGCATATAAAATGTATTAACCCAGCAGAGCATCTGTATTAAATTTGGTGAAAAAATGCTGATTCCAGTCGATTTTAACCTAAAATTCCCAACTAGATTATATATTCATATATTCAACATAAGTTATCGCTGTGATTGTACCGAGGGGGAAAATAGTCACTTTTGTGACATGAAAAGCTCAGATTTTAAACTCTGTTAATCTCACTTTGAAGTACAACCTGAACTAAAGCTAACAAGAAACAATCTTTTAAGACCAATTTCTCAAAAATAAAAAAAAAGAATGTAAAACTGTGAAAAATGACAGTTTTGTTATGTCTATGCAGATTCTGTAGAAGATGGAGAGAAGCTGATCCAGACAGCATTGGATGCATTTGGAAGAATAGGTGTGTATAAACCTTCTATGGAAATCCTGCGGCCACTAGTGCTGATACCTGTCACTACTGATTTACGAAATGATCATAAAATGATTGTCAGCAATGTCGTTACAGTTATTCACTGACTTTAATATCTTACATTTATTTTTTCCAGATGTTGTTGTAAACAATGCTGGGTAAGTCCTCTAATAGCAACAATCACACATTTTATTTTCTTATTTTCTTATTTATTATTAAAAAAATGTTTACTCATATCATGTGCTATTGGAATGGCCATTTGGTTGCAGTTTCCAGATTCATTTGAGCATGCAATATTAGTTTATTAAAAAAGGGGGGGAAAAATCTAAATGCAGGAAAAAAATGCTAAAACTCTTTCTTTGCTTTTCCCTACCAAGAATACTTCGTGACCGATCATTTGCCAGGACGAGTGATTTGGATTGGGGTAATTACACTTTAATTACATATTTACTTGCTTACCTCTGTGTCTTCTTTTGTTTACCTCACAATGATATATGTAGATCAATATGTTTTAAATTGTGTTTAAAACCTGCCATATGCTTCAAACCACAGCGTTCTAATGCTAAATATCAGAGATGTGTATTGTTATGCATTAATGTTTACTTGTGTTTTTTACCTCTTACTCTGCATCACAGACCTCATTCAGAGAGTTCACTTGAGAGGCTCTTTCTTAGTGACTCGAGCTGCCTGGAACCACATGAAAAACCAAAAGTTTGGCAGGTAAGTAGCTCAGCTTGTAACAGCTATTGACGCAGGTAAAACTGTGTCATCCTCTTATTACGCAGGTAGGATATTTTTCTTTCCTTAGATCTGTCAAGTTACAGTATCCTCAACAGGCAACATTACTGGAGTGTTATCAAGACCTCGGTACCATGTGATGCATGTTCATACGTCAGCAACAGTACTAAAGATAGGCCGACAAAAAACTTTGACTATGATTAAGTGGTCTCTTGAGGATAATTGTCATAGACATATTCAGATGCTGCTTTAGTCACTATTCTTTAATACAGATAGACCTCAAATGGTGCAAAACAAAATTCCTATCTTGGGTTGTTTTTGTTTTTTGTTTTTTGATGATTTTTTTACATACTTTTATTAGCATGATTTTTGTGATTTATGGTTTTGTTTTTGCTTTTTTCTCTACTACTTTTACAACATAAAAACTGCTGGATCAAGACATGCAATGTTAGAAAGAGTCAGTAAACCTTTTGGAATTACCAGGATTTGTCTGTGACTAATACAATTTAGTTTTATTTTTGTCTAATTCCCAAAACACCAGCTTGATGTTCCATAGCACCGTTTTAATATTGAAATAATCAACTTGTTCTCAACCTGAAGTCATTTTACGAAAGCTGTCTTTTGCCCATAAGGCACCGTACACAGAGGGATTTCAGGAATATTTTAGAGATCTGCAAACACTGCAAACAGATCTGGGGGTGCCATTAGCATTAGTCCCATTTTTTTTTTATTAGCTGTGGCTAACGTCCAGCTGGCACCTTAGTGTATTGCTCTTAGTGCAGCTTTTTACTTTCCGCCACTCATTATTTGTAGAGAGATGACTGAACAGCTGTGTCGAACTTGACCACATTGGAATTGTGGTGAAGTTGCACATCTGTTCCATATGAAGCTTACTGCCCACTCCACTGAGACTATCCTACACTTCTTTTGCCTTATCTAAAATAATTTATTTCTTTGGCTGCCTTGGAGCAAAGCGGACCACAACCGAGTGAATATGTCAGTTGTGTTTATGTTCTCCTTTGAACTTTCTTGAACTTGTACTGAGGATATGTACAGACTGGCTTTGGCGACAGTTATTTTAGATTACAATGTATAAATGTATACATTGTTTATTTGGAACTGGTGAAACAATTAAGTTTCCCTTTTTGTTTCATGTTTTTCTATAAAAGCTGAAGATTTTACTTTATTATATGTTATATATACCTGTGTTGTGTTGTTCTTCAGTATATTCATCATGTTCAAGTTCGGACAGTAAAATAAATAGTATTTGAAACAAAATCAACCTTAATCTTCACTTAGGAGCAAAAGTGAACCTTTAATCTTGACAGAAATTGTGATTTGATTTATAACATACTAATATTTTTTCCATGTCGCTCAGCCATTCTAGTGGATGATTGTTACTAACTTGAAACAGCGATGAAGTTAGCAGATGAAGTTTGTATTGATTTTTGCTTTAACGATGCTATGCGTTGCTTATGGAAGATAAATGATGACAGTGTCGACTTAGACAGACATGCAGTGCATATTCCGGTGTTTGATTAATGGGGGTTTTACTAACAGGCCTCTGTTGCATGTGCAGCTAATAACATTAGCAGTGGCTGTTTTCTGGAACGGAACTGTTATTGAGATTTTTATTAATTACAGATGGGCTTTTCGTGACATGCAAAACAGACTCTGAACAAAAGCCTTTTTTTTTTTTTTTTTTTTTTTTTTTTTATGTTCAGAAAAAAGTCTGTGTTATAGTTTGCAGAGGAATGTTGCTCAAGTGTTATCATAGGTAATAGATGTCCTTCTCAAGTGCACACAAACCATTTTACACAAATAGCATCTCATAAACACTAAAGTAACATTTGTACTGCACTGAGCTCAAGAGCATCTTATTACTGTGTAGAATAAAAAAACCTTTGGAAATAATGATGCTGATATTGAATGAAGGTTGTCCAGCAGCTGTGGTTGGCTGCTTTTTGGTATAGTTTGGATCTACTTGCCCCAGTTAGAGCAGTGCTTCTCAAACCTTTTTCTGCTATGCCCCATTTCAGAAGACAAGTCCAGGCTCCACACCCCACATTTTATTTATTTTTTAAAAATTATTCCTCTTCCAAAGAGTTCTGAGTGATTCGCTTTAGTTTTAAACCATCTATAACCCAATAACACAATGTCCCCGTCAGTGGGCCACGAAGAGGTAATTAAATGTTGCAAAAAAGGATGTACTGACATCTTACAAGAATCTGTCCACCACCATCATCAGAACACCAGAGGAGGGACTGTCTCGAGAATGAACAATGTCAGTAGAGTTCCAGAAATGTATAGAAATAATGTCAAGCTTTATTAAGCCTGTTCTATAAGCACATCTTGGTCCACCGCCTTACACTTTGTGTTTTTTGTTTTTCATTTAATTTGTCATCCCTCTGTATTTTGCAGTGCTCATGGGAAATTTTAAAATCCAATCTCGGTGTGCAGTCACCTCAAACAAAAATGTACGGTACATTTAAAGGTAAAACCACAGCAGAAAGAAATGAAATGATAAAGGTCATAGCCTGACTCCCCTGCTCACTCACTATATGAAAACATGAAGGAATACACTTACATAATGTGTTTATGTTCTGGATCAAGTCCCTGGTGCAACATTTTATCATGCGATGCTCTTTAAATATTACTGTGCTGAGACTCTGAAAACTGACTGAGACATTTGAGCACAGAAATTGATATTATTATACAGAGTACTGTATCTGATGACTGTGTTCCTCAGAAGTCTCCTGCACCTAATGTAGCGTTGTTTATGATGGTCACCTTGTTAAAGCTAGTGTCTGTGTAAACATGCTAGGATTGCATGACTAGATGCTTACATATGCACGTTCCTGGGTGTAAGCAGGCATGAAAAATATCTAAGTCTTTGTAAGATTGTGTGTGGAGAGGCCGTCTGGGTCTCTTATGACTCCTTCGTGATGCCTGTCACTTTGCATTAATCCTAACGTTGCCTCCGGTTTTCTGTGGCCAGAATCATCATGACTGCTTCAGCCGCAGGGATCTATGGCAACTTTGGCCAGGCCAACTACAGCGCTGCCAAGCTGGGCTTGCTGGGGCTGGCTAACACTTTGGCAATCGAGGGTCGCAAGTACAACATCCACTGCAATACGATTGCTCCTGTTGCTGGGTCACGGCTCACAGAAACAGTCATGCCTCCAGGTAAGAGTAAAAAACATATATTAACATATATGAACATATATATTGTATGCAGCTGGTCTATATGATGTAGGTTCACACACCCTTACAGATAATGTTTTTTTTTCTCCTTTTATCTCATTGAACAGGCTGAAATGGACAAATGGGTTTTAACCAAAGCATTTTTTGAGAGCAGTTGCATAATGTAATACCATGTAATGTGGATTTACAAAATTTGAGGCAACAGCACTCCCGTTCAACATGCAAATTTTTCATCTAATATTCAAGAGCAGTGTTTTCTTGCTTTTCCAAGGGCCATGATGAAATCATGCACCCTGTGAGTGCTTTAAAAGTTTTAATGTGTCAGCCCTTTATTTTAGCAGGCGGCTATGTCCTCCTTGCATTACTGTATGTGTTGTCTTCCAGTATTAAGAGAAAAAGTAAGGTAACAAATCATTTATAGTTTTTGTGTTGAACACATTTTAGAAAGAGGGCATACAGCATTGAATGCCTACAATTAAGATTAAGCAACTAAAGATATAGAATTGGCAATCTTATCTTGTGTATTAATATAACACAAAACAAAAAAACATCACCCTTAAGAATAACTGGGACTGGGAATGTTTTTCCAACCCCTGACTCGGTATTTGTAAAAATCTGAACGTCACAGTTACACTGAGCATGCTCTGTGACTGCAGCTCTGGAATAAGAAGTATTAAGTGAATTAAGGGAAAGGTTTTGTTGCCCTGCCGTGCCAGCCTACGGTAGCATCTGTCGCACACTGCGTTGTGCCAACTGTCACAGGGGCCTCACCTTAGTAAATGACTTGGTTCCATATGTTTGCTTTCACTCACTGACACTTTTCTAAAAAAAATTAATGACAAAACCCATCTTGCTAAGCAGCAGCGTGTTTAGTGAAGCAGAAGGGCTTCTTTTTACCACTAGGGTACAGATATTTTCAGCACACACAAGGGATATAAAAAAAAAAAAAAGTTTAAGCTTGTGCCATATTTTCTTTTTTCAGTTAATTCCAGCATGTTTAAGAAATATTTCGCTAACAGATTGCTAGTACTAGGACTGATACTGACCTGGTCTCATGAATTCAAGCATTCTGTCTGTTTCTTCATGTGAAGCCAGTTCATGTTTTTGCCATCTGTCTTGCAGAAGATTATAAGTTAAACGCAAAAACAAACAATATGTAGTATTGTACTCCATGTATAAATGAACCAAATGCAACATATTTTAAAAATCAAGACCTTCTTTGCCCTTTATTACAGATGTAAACCAGATGTTTTGTTTTATGTAGATCTTGTGGCGTCTCTGAAGCCTGAGTATGTTGCTCCTTTGGTCCTCTGGCTCTGTCATGAACAATGCCAGGAGAATGGAGGACTGTTTGAGGTACTGAAACTGTCACTATACTGCTTGTAGCTTTGTTTCATCTTAGAGAAAAATAATGTACAATAGCATATTCTTTTTCTATAAAGAGGCAATATTTCTTAATCTCCATGTGCATTTGCTCTTCTCTTCATGTTTGACTCCCTTTAGGTTGGTGCAGGGTGGATTGGTAAATGTGAGTACTGTGTGTTTTGTCCAGAGGAAATGTCTGTATGCATTTGCCATATTCATTAGTACCCCAGACTGCTGCTACAGTATGTGTGGGGTTTATACTGTGCCATGACCCCTGTATTTTTGTGTGTGTAGTGCGCTGGGAGCGTACTCAGGGCTATATAGTGAGACAGAAGAACCAATCCATGAAACCCGAGTCCATCAGGGACCACTGGGAAAAAATATGTGACTTCACAGATGCCACCAAACCTGCTAATATGCAAGGTCAGTGATGCACCAGGCCAAATACACACTTACGCAATTGGTAACCTACAGAAAAATGTATAAGTGTATTGTCACACTTGAGGACAATATACACACACACACGACTTCAAGTCCGTCCTCATGGGTTTTAGCTGTATTTTTTACTATATTAAAATATGTTTAATACAGTTTAATCATAAAAGCAGATTGTTTACAATAACTAATACATGGCTCACAGAAACGGTTATGTCTTCAGGTAGGAGTAAAAAAACATATATTGCATGCAGCTGATCCACACACTCTTACAGATACTATTTTTTTTTTTTCTTTTATCTTATTGGACACACTTGAGGACAATATACACACACATGACATGACAAAATATGGGCTCAGAGAGAAAATAATGAATAAAGACACTCTGAATAGGCAGGCTTTTCCCCCTTTCACTCATAGTGGAGTAAAACTTAGTAATTCAGCCTAAACAGGCAAAGATGAGCTAAATTGAATTAAAATGAATGCTGTTGAGATGCTTGTCATTTGGATTTCGGATGTGATTTAATTGTTTTCCGCTGAACTTGTTGTCTGTGTCCAGACTGGACATTAAAATTACCATCATTACCTGAGGCCTCAGTCAGATCGTTTTATTGATCTTGCAGCGAGCAACTGGCAACCACTGCACTGGCGAGTAATCTGTACTCCCCAACTGGTTGTGAGTTTGCTGGCAGTTGCTAGCATGACACTGGTTGTAAAGAGGCTGCACTGAAACCTTGTGATTGCTGTGGGTGCTAACAGGGAATCATTAGTTTGCATGGAAGATGCCAACTTGTCTTGCAAACTAATTACTAAGCAGTAATGAAACTGTGAGAAATGCAGTGCAATTCAGAAACATAAAAATGTTTACCAGTCTGGATGGGCAAGATACCCATGGCTGTGAATGGGTAAATGAGACATGTAGTACAGGTCGGACTTGAACCTGGGCTACTGCACTTTCACCATAGGCTTGTCTGCTCCCCGCTGAGCTCAAGTGCCTCCCAGAAAGTTTTTAAGTTAAAAAATATTACACTCTGAAGTGATCAGGTTGTCTAAACATGGACTCACAGCACTGCAAGCCACTGTGGCGTGTGCTTTCTCTGAGCAGATAGTCGTCACAGATGTGCTCTAGCGTAACGTTTCACCAAGACTGCAAGCACGGCTTTTGACAGTTTCACATGTGAATTATTTCATGTTACTGAAGCTCAGTGGTCTTATCCTTCAAAGTAATTGACAACCATCAGATTTGTCCATCGTTGTTAAAAGATGTAAGAGATGTAAGCTTTTATGAAAATGTAAAACACGGTCTTTAAGAATTGATTTCTTGCCTTTAGTCTTGAATGGTCATTTATTCACTGTGAGCTGAATCATTTCTCTTCAAAGCAGTAACCACGCAACACAGACCAGAGATGAGACTATTTTCACAGCGGCTTTCCTTATTAGTGCCCGGATCACACTTTCACACTTGTTTGACTCACTCTTTGTTGAGTCAGAATTATTCAGATTTTAGATCATTACATGGCTACATAATTTGCCCTTTGGTCTTGGAGTAGTAGTGGGCTAACTTTGTGCTACTCTAAAGAAATTCATGTCTTTCATGTTTTAGTAGTATGGCCTTAGTAAATGTCTAGATATACACAACCTTTGAGTCATTTTCCACAATACTGGTTTATACCCAAATAAATCTGCAGTTTTGTTGCAACATTTTTATGTGATATTGGTTGATTGTTAGAAGAGAGGGAAATAAAAAAGCAGTGTTTTGAGACCTGTCTTTTAATTAAAGTTATGATTAGCCTCTTTTGAGTGGAACCACTTTTGAAGAGCTCAATGAAAGGAAAAATAAAAGCACCTGGCTTGTTAGCCCTCATGTAGTCATGCTGTCAGGCTCAGCGCTTATGAGGGTGATAACCTTCTGAAATCATCTGTATTTACAGTGAGTTGGGTAACAATCAAAGACTGAGGACCAGATGGTGGTGGAGATGATGTGAATGAGGTGGAGAAAAGAAGCCAAGTTCAATATGATGTTGAGTGTGAACGAGTGCAGTATTGTTCAGAAAAGAGCTCCAGCAAACAAGAGGCTGGCGATTGTTGATTATTATTTCTCTCCACCTCCTCCACCTTATCCTTCCTTTCATATCCACATTCAAAGAGAGGGTGGCGGTGTTAACATTAACAGAATGGGGGTGGCAGTCCCACAGGGCACTAGCTGGTCTCATTAGCATGGCTTTGTAGTACCACCTCATTTGTATCTTATTTGTTGCTACCTCTTTTTGGTAAGTGCCTGCCGCTGAGTGACGGTAATAGGATCTCTGGTCTTCTCAGTCTTACCCTGGTCCCGGTCCGTGCACGTTTCAGCTATTTTCCTTTGTTCATGCAGCAACAGGTTGAATCAGCATATATATTTAAAGAGTTGTTGCCTTTGTTGTTACATTTACACTTTTTGGGTGTTCTTAAAACAACCTGAGAACCCACAGTGAGGACTTGTGCAAACAACTGTTTGAATAGAGAAATGTTTATTCTGCAGGTACATAAGGGCTCTCATGTATTTCCATTTTAAAGCTGCTTCTGGATCAGTATGTTTTAGACTGAAATTCATTTATTCAGCATTTGCATAGTTTCACTGAAACATGAACCCCAGGCTTGTTGTTCTATAGCTGGGTTAAAAAAAAAAAATCAGTCTTTGCAGTTTCCTAACTGTGAAACCAGAATGAGCAACTACACATAAGAGACAATTGAAAGAATATTTCGAAATTCAAAGACCTCTCAGTGCAATCATCAACTCAGAGTGAGGTTCGAAAAACGCAACCAAATTCCTGTTTTGCAGCCTTTTAACAGTTAAACAATAAATGCTAAAGAGCTGAACATACTAGTACATGCCCATGCTGCTGTATTATTTCATCTGCTCATACTGATATTTAATCACACGTAGAAAATGTAATTACAGTAATTGTAGGTCTCTTGCAATGCTCAGGTCCTGCTCAATTATATAAATGTTGTTGTAGTCTGTTTGGTTGTTGCTAGGCAATGTGATCACATAGTATGTCATTCATAATTCAACCTTTTGTAGATATAGATTAATGTCATTGTCATGCCATTACAGTGATACAATGGTTTTATAAAGTATTATAGTTGCATAAACAGTAGAAAACTGGTCATTTTAGCTCATTGGTAGGGTGTATACTGATTATGCCATAATATACAAACCTCCAGGGGACTAAGATGTTCCTTCAGGCTTATAGAGGGAGACTTTTTGCATTATATTAAGAAAGATATGTTTATTTAGAGCCGATATAACCTGGAAGAAGGTGGCTTTATTTCCATTCATTTAATATATGCTAAAAATATTTTTTAGAGCTGTTAAGTTGTGTCGTGCATCGCTTTGATGGCTGGCTGTTGTCTTGGTAACCTTTTAATATACTTACTACCAGCTCATATGATCACCAATGAGTGATACTGTGCTCTCATTGGTGGACAGTTCAATTGCTACCCTGGATGTTGATCAAATATTTTTGCGTTCTGCCCACTTTGTGTGTTGACTGTGATTTAGATTGTTTGACTTGAAGTTGCCAGATTGATTGATTACAGTTCAACCGTTTAGTTTCTGCAATACAGATTGGTTTTTTCTGTTAATGGTTTGTATTATATTGAATTAGTTATAAACAAATTGCATCTATTCAAGTTTCACTATTTGGTTTAAAAAACATAATTATATTTGGCTGTATACACAAACTATATATAATTTATGTGGAGCAAATTCTAATATGTAATACATGTGAAATGGCATGCAGTACCTAGATGAGGAGTATTTGGTCAAATCCAGCATGATGGGGAGGGGAAAAAACAAGCAGTGCAGAAGGAATTGGGGAGGCACCAGTCTTTCTTCTGTTTGCAACACACATGCATGCAAACTGTATACTCGGCTGGAGACTGCCCGGCATGGTGAAACACACTCAAGATACTTCTTAGACTTGCTGCACAGCTTGGTGTGTGTGTGTGTGTGTGTGTGTGTGTGTGTGTGTGTGTGTGTCCAGGTCCCAGCATGCTGCTATATAAAACGGCTCCCTGAACTACTCCCCTTCATTAGCCGAGTTGTAAAAACCACACCCCACTCTACACAATATGCTTAATGAAACATTTGACATTTAGCAGATGATTATGTTGATGCTTATTCGTTATATTACCAAGAGCTACACGAGAAGACGAATTATTATTGTCATGCCTTTACAATATATTAAGCTAAGTGCAGCATCTAAATTAGTGGCACAATAAAAACAATCTGTGTAAGTTATTGTTCGCATAGATAAAACAAACCTCACACAGTTGTTTTACAAATGTCATTGGTTTTCCTTTAAGACGGGCAGTTTCCTCTTCTGTAGCAATTGTTGATTTCTACTCGTATAAGAGAGCCAGTTTCAACACTTCACCCATGCTGTGTTTATTTCCAAATGAAAACAAAACTCTTTGACTAATGCTGAGGAATAAATTCATCTTGCTGAGAAGTAACATGATTATCTTGGTTGGCTAACAGCATGTATCGCTCTCACATTTATTTAGAGTCTCTGCAGTCAATGGTGAGTGTGCTGTCTCAAGTGGAATCGCAGGGTGATGTTGGTGTGAATCCAGCAGCAGCTGCAGCCTCTGCAGGCTTGGGATCAGGGATTGATCCTGTAAGTAAAATAATCTGTTAATGTGTTTTCTTGCTTTTTTTTTTTTTTTTCTTCTTTAGTTCAATGTTGATATAAAACTAAATCATAAAGTTTAGTTTTAAAATCTGTATTTACAAGAGTCCTAACTGCTGTCTCTTGGCTGCTGTGCTTTATATGAAATGTGGAACATGAGAAACATCAAAGGTGGATGTGAGATATCAGTCAGATGTAAACAAAAACTCAGAGCAGCTGTTTATTAAATGGTTTGCAAAATGCATGGCTTTGTCTGGAGGGGATCACTGCATGTGTTTAATACAGAGCCAGTGTATGTTAGTAAAAGTGGAAGTAGCTACTGTGACAGGTCTAACTGATTTGTGGATTGATGTTTTGAAGGCTTTGCCCTAGCATCTAGGGCATCTATCCTAGCATCTGACTATAAATTGAAAGACTTTCATACTCTTATAGTAGCAATTTGTCCACGACATGGTATCAATGCCTGAAAGGGATCAGGGTGTGGAACAGTTGCATCTTCAGGTACAGAGTAGCATTATAGCATTTGAGCTAGCTGGCAGGAGATATATCTGGAACAGTTTAGATAACTGTAGACATAGCTTTTAACCCTCTCAAGGCAGGCGTTGTCAATTTGCAACAGTTAAAAACTAACAACCTGTTTTTTTTTTACTCAGAAGTACCACTGCAGGACTTGGCTGTGCATTAGCAACAAAAAGTTTAATTTGAGCCTGAGAGGGTTAATTAAAAAACATCAGGACTTTATTATCTAATGCATCTGGGATGCATTTAGGAAACATGAATAAAGAAACCCATATCCATTCATGCTTTCCTTTTTATGATGTAAAAAAACAGACATACAAGATGTTTTTTAAAGTCTTCCACTGTTTCCTGGCTTCTGCAGTTCTTAACCTTATTGCCATCGGTGTTACTCAGTCATCTGTTTTGTCTTCTTCATTTAATTTCTATCATTCTTCCTACTGAGACTGTTCTACTCTGATATAGCTGGGTCATAATGACACATGCAGCTCTAAACAGTGTTTCAAATATGGCAAATCATGACTTTCTAATGTCAACACATTAAATTTAGTTGGGAACAATAATAAACCACTCAGAAACTGCTTCTACGACATGCATGTGTACTTGGATGTCACCTGTAAATATTGGATGGTACCAGACAAGAGCCTGCTCAAACTAGCTTTTAAAATGTAAAGTTCCTAAGCTGTTGGAGCACCACAGAGCAGCGAGGAATCCCTGGATATGTTCTCCTTTACTTTACTGTGTTTCCTGTTACTGAAGCTCAGAAAAGGGAACTTGTTACAGCTCAAACATGGCTGAGTTCCTAAAAAAAACACCAAGCTGCAAGTAGTGCTGCATCCCAACATGGTTCTCCACACAAATGGCCAAATTGAGCTTGCATTGAGCTGCGTGTAGTATGCAGTAGTTAAACTGACCAACAGATGTCCAAAATGCTACTCAAACCGAATTCTCTTTTTGCACAAATATTTATAAACTTATTTTGAATTGTGTTGCCGTTGTGCATTGGTTAGGTAATGCATTGCTTAAGAATATTATTAATAATAATAATGGATTGCATTTATATAGCGCTTTTCGAAACCCTCAAAGTGCTTTACAATTCCACTATTCATGGAATAGTGGAATTCCTAATTGGAATATTAGGTGCTAGATGATGCACAGTGAGGGTGTTTTAATGGTTCAGTGGTTACAGTGTACACCAAATGCATGCCTATACATTTCTGGACAATATTTGGGGTTTTCAGTAAATGGCCACAATGGATTCATGTAGAAATTTAAAAAAAAAAAAAAAAGCTGACAGTGAAACATTTGTATAATGGAATCAAATGTCTAAAAACAATAAAGAAATATGAGCACTTGTGGAATGTTTGTATATTTTAGAATCAGATTTTGTTTGATTTTTTTCTCATTTTACACATAAAATGTTTTATAAAAAACAAGATTTCAAAACTATGTTAAACAACAGCAACAAAACTTTCATGCACAAGTATGAAATAAGATAAATAGGCCTGCAACAGGCCTGTCTAGTGTATATCCATACTTTCACCCAGTTGTAGGCTCTAACGACAATAAATTGTACAAGTCAAAGATAATGTCAGTATTACTAGCTGCCTTGGCTAAATAATTTTTTCTTCTGCTGTGTCTTATGGTTGCACATTTTGTTTCTTGGTGTTTTATTGATTTGCCTTCTCAAAATTACCTTTTTTTGCAAACTGTTCTTTTAAATCCTGTGAGTCATTAACAGCACTTACTAGCCAGGTTCAATAATATCATGATTCAGTGCCTAAATGTGAAATGAGGTATACTCACTCTTGTGTATCACTGTCCTCTCTGCTGTGGCTCTCTGAGCTTTTGTGGCTCCCTGGTTAGGAGATTTGGAACAGAGTCACACTGTAGCCTCAAGACAAACATCACAACCGTGTCCTCGGCTGACGTTTGTGTGTGTCTGTGTGCAGTTCTGCCCACACATGCTCTGCTAGTTGCATTTGTGCCTTTGTCCTTGTCATGCTAAGAGGTACACACACTGCTTAAGTTATCAGCTGTGCTGCTTCTGTATTGCTGGCATGCCATGGAGCTCAATCTGTATACAGGTCTGATAGCCCAAAATATTATTTGTTGTAACATTTATGTAGGCAAAGCAATATACCAGAGGCATAGCAAGGTTAAAATATAGAGGTTTTTATTCTAGTTTAGTGCCATGTTCATTCGACAGTAGTAATTACGGTAGTGTCATTGAAATATCTTGGTTCATACAGAGACGTGTTTCTATGTTGTTTTCTAAATGGGGTGAAAAAGAAAAGAAAGCACCTTTTTTTTTCATAATGCAATTCAAACTCCAGGTTTCAAGGTTAATCTTTCTAACGCTTCCATAAAGCAGACAGAAATAGAACTCTATTATATTGAAATGTATTTATTATGTTTATTGTGTGAGCCATATATTTTTGTTCTTGCACTTTTTACTAAAGTAGGTTGGCCTTATTCAAAACTCAATAGTCTTTAGTTATCTTATATTAGGCCATAGTGCAGCCCTGATCTGTTTCATTCTATCTGACTGCAAGAGACTGTATGAAATAACTGGATATCCATCGCACACATGCACAGGGATGAAGACGTAATGCTGTCAAAATTACATATGTGAGCTAAGTGGTGCAAGCAACCTGATGAGGTATCTGGCTTTTTAACAGGCGTGCACAATGAGGCTGCAGGCGTGCTGCTAGAAGCCCTGTCCCAGTGAAAGGATATATGGCGGTGTGACAGTCGACCTGTTTGGTGTCTCAACATTTCCAAAGCAATCTACTGTTCTTCTCTCCCTTAAAACCAACTAGGCTACCAGAGCACACACTGGCACACCCCTGGCCAGATTGCCTGCTGTATGTCTTCTCTTGCTTCCTTTGCTCATGCGCTTCACAGGATAGAGGGATACATACTGACCAGGGAGGGTTTGGTTCCCAGTGATCCCACTGAGTTTTGATGTCCTATCTCGGCTGCAGGGGTGTGTTTTTTCTTCCACACTCAGATCCCCTTCATCTATATGTATGGTCACTCAAGGGCTGGGCAAACCTTTGAGTTCTTGTGAGGAAACCCGGGCCCAGACCATATTAAATAATTGGGCATCATCAGTTAGGGTATTGTATTACCAATAGGTGAAAGCTCATTTCCAGCTGATGTAAAGATCAACATGTGGTCCCTTAGCAGTGCTCTAAGCTTGTATTTCCAAATGTTACTGAACCACCGGCTCTCAGTCTTAACTGTCCAAGTGTATGTCGCGCCTGTCTCAGCCCATCATGTTGTGGTGGATAATTGTTATGTTGGGTGTCATCCTCTGGTGGGTCATTTTCTGAATGGTGCTCTTTGCCTTTGGCCACAACATGCTGTCACTTCCTTCATGGAAAACACAATTGTTCTGGAAGCTTCGTCTTCTCCATCCTTTGAACCCCTCGAGGGGAGTTACCAGAGATGGTTATCTGGTAAGACTGCCTTTCTTCTCACTGTTGCATCAACAAAGCATGTAACTGAACTTCATGTCCTGTCTGCTGCCATGGACTGTTTGTGTTGTCATCCTAATGGGCGTGGGATTGCTTTGTTGCTCATCACTTCTTTTCTTTCCAGAATGCTGTCCACCTGTCATACCTATTATTTTGTCTGCCTTTGGCACTCAGAGAGGGGGCAGAGGACCTGTGTTATAATGTCAACTTTGCCCTTTTCAGGCTGTAAGACTGTAGATTGGCACGAATGCTGAGTTCTATAACGGATGCATTCTTTGTCCGTTATGGGCACAGGAAGGAAACTCCTTTCACACTCGGTTGTTGATACCACTTCAGGAGCTTAAAGACTTTGAGGTTTCCAAATTCTGTGCCGCTGTTGGTTGGGCTTCCTTCTTTGCCTGCTTCTACAGGGGTAATAATAATAATAATAATAATAATAATGGATACTTTATTGATCCCCATGGGGAAATTACTTGTTTTTCTCTGCATTTGACCCATTCACTCAGTGAAGCAGTGGGCAGCCCACTAAGCAGGCGCCCGGGGAGCAGTGTGTAGGGACGGTACCTTGCTCAGGGGTACCTCAGGGTAGCCGTTAAGTGGATTCGAACCGCCGACCTTCCGATCATGGGGCGACCACTTTACCTACTGAGCTATCCCTGCCCTAATATGGCTACCCCCCACCCCCCACCCCTTTTCCCTGCAGTCTGAGCTTGTGGTGAGTGGAGATCCCCTCTGACTTTGTGGGTATGGGTCATCCGGGTATTTCATGCCGTCTCTTGCAGTCAGGAACAATGGAATGAAACAAGAGTTAAAACTGTAACTAAGGGTATATGAATTCTGGTTGACCGCCAGAGTTATTGTAGGAATTTTGATGATTGCTGGGTGCATGTGTCACCCAAGACACACATGTGACTTTCTTGGTATTGTATTGACCTCTCTCCACATGCAAGGTGGATATCAAGGTATTTCATATATTCATATTTCATGGCTGCCATTCAGTCTTAGTTACATTCATACTCTTGTTTTAAATCCTCTCGTCTTGAGACAACAGCAGTTGTGTGCCTGGGATGATCACATTATCCTCCTTCTCCTTTAATACATAAAAAGCTAAGTGTAGGGAAGGAAAAAAAACTGTCACAAGGTAGTGAACTCCTAGTGCCGGTCCCAATCTGGGATAAATGTGAGGATTGTGCCAGGAAGAGTGAAAAGTCTGTGCCAACCCAAATATGTGGATCCATCTGCTGATAACTGCTTGGGGAATAATGAAGCAACTGCAAGTACTCCTTTAGTTTTAGGTTGGTGTACTTTATCAGAAATTGGCAACAATAGTTTTAATATAAGGAGTACAAGTATTATAAAAATGCCCATAAAGTGCGCTTTATTATTCGTGTAACTTTAGTGTTATATTGATATATTTAGCAACATGGTTTTGCATGACTAACAAAAATATCTGAAAAAACAATAGGACAAATGCAAAAATCTCAATCATGACTTAAAATGTGCATCAGTTTCAGGTGGAGGTGAAACAGTTGTTATGGATTTATCAAACAGAATTAACAGAGTACTGTGTATCATGTGTTTTGATCAACTGAGTAACAATTAAAATTTTATCACCAGTCTGACTCTTCATTGGAAAAGCAATAATTAATATATAAGGAAAAAGTGGCAAAATATCAGCAAGCTTAATTTGAAGTTACATATTTGTACACTGAATAATAGATGGAAAGAAGAGAAACAAAAACATAGATCTGCAGTGTGGAGCAGACAGTAAGTGAGTGAAGATAGACCGGATAACAAAGCTATCCTTTTGCTTTAAACCTTTTTTTTCCCCCTCTCCCATATCATCTCACTCAAGTAACTGACTAACTTGACTTACTCCTACACAAGCCACTACTGCTTTTTATCCCCGCTCCTCAACTGCAGCTTTAATCTCGCCGTGTGCATGCAGGAGAGCAGGCACTAATAATATTCCCAAGTACTGGGAAGCTGGAATTGGTCTGAAAACACACAATTCCCCACATCTGCATTTAAATGCAGTTTTAATTAAAAACTGCTCTCCAGAGGCCAGGTTTTATGATGTCTTTCGATCAGCTGAGAGGTGATATTATGCAGAGTGTGAATCGCACCATTCTGCCAAGCAATATTGTTTTGAACAATAGCTGTCTTATTTACAGCACAGTGGCTGTAAACATGACAAATGAGTAACTGCAGTACTGCTGTGACTGTAATGTTGCCAGAGATGTATATTTATAGTGCGCTTTAACTGGATTTCTTGTATGTCTTTATAATACTTGCTAACATGAAGGAGTCGGCGGGACCGTTTCACCCCCTTTCCTGCTCTGTTTGAGTCAGACACTTAATACAGTTTGTGCTCTTATGTGTCGCGTACTAGTGCTTCAGTACAATGATAAACAACATTCATATTACACAGAAAGCTGCTTCTGAGAACCCCGAGGACCTTCATGCTTTTCCTGGAATATGTTTTATCCTTCAGTTAAAAATACATTTTTAAGCAGTTTTGAGTTTATAGGATGCACTCAAGCATATTTAAATTTGACAATATTATGCTGACAAATAAAATATTTATTTAATCAGACCTCAGTTTCTAGGATTGAGAAATGGCATTTTTATCAAGGCCTTAAAATTCTGAAAAAATTATTTATTTTTTGCACCATCCTTTCAAAAGATATTTCTTCTTTTGGTGGTTTCATGATGAGTTTCAGTCAGGCCGGAGAAAATTATTCAGATATGCTATATTCATAAAACTTCTACCAGTAACAACCTCCTACCAACCTCACCCAGGAATTAACGAGGGCTTTAAAATATTTACAATACCGCTGAGGCCTTTAAAAGACATTTGTGACTTTGTCATTAACACTCGATTACTGCGATGGCGTGTTCAGGAGTTTCGGTTCATTTTCCGGCTGCTCGTTAAGAGAAGTGCAAGCACAAATTTAACATGGCTCAATTTCTGGCCTCCCTGCGCTGGCCACCGTTCAAGACCAGGATTGTTTTGGACTGATTGTGCTGATCGCTCACAAAGCTCTGCCTGGTGCGACACAGGAGTACATTTCTGAACTGCTGATTCCTTTCAACTCTGAGGTCCCACGAGTCCTCAAACTACCTCCCTCACAGATCACAGCCAAATCAAATATGTGATCATCTGGGGAGAATCTTTTTATATCTTCTGATGCGGTCTCCTTTTGTAATATTTTATTAGCATTTATGCATACTTTTTTGTTTTCTACGTGGTTCTTGTATATTAAAGAATAAGTTCAGCAAAATCTTTTAAGACAGCAGTCAGGCTTTGGTGTGGACACCTCTTTTTCAGACCTGATGATAAACTCTTTAATGCGCTTGTAATGTGATGGGTGATTAAATCTAATCAAGTCAGAGTCAGATGAGCAAAGAGGAAACGATCCACAGTAACGATTAACTGCTAAATTTCTTTGTGTTACTCTAGACAGCGACTCACTGCTTAACAACAGCCAAGGGTGATAACAAAAAAAAGAGTCTTTCTAACAAATTTCCTTCTAACTTTGGAAGATATGCACTCACTTGTTTACACTGGATGTCTGCAGCCTAATTGTTGTCAGATTGAATAAATTTTTGAAAGAGGGAGGGGTGCATTTAAAGATTTATCACCGGCACCTGAAGCGAAGCAACAGATCTTCTCATAAGCCGGCATTTCATCTGCTCCTCAGTGTTTTCTTAAATGATCGTGTTCATTTCAGCGTCCTAAAAAATACATGTAACCATTTAGAAATGCCTTTTCTCTTGGTGTGTCTGTAGTTCCATTACATGGTGTACTGACACTGACGCATTCACTCTAAATGTTTGCTTGATCCTTCTTACCGAGTAGCTGTGAGGCTAAACCATTATGGTGTGATTTTTGTGATGCAACTTGTTTTCTTTCTTTAAATTACACCTTTTTTTGTTTTAATCCCCTTTCTGTTTTCTCTTCTTTCTCTTCTCAGACTAAAGCAGTGGGACAAAAACTTCCTCCAACCACTTTCAGCTTCAACCACACCCAGTGTATCCTGTATGCGCTGGGTGTCGGCATGTCCACCAAGGACCCAGACCATCTGAGGTGTGATTCTGCATGTGTTTGTGTTATTGACTGTAGTTTCCTCAGTAGTTGTAAAAAGGCAAATTACATGAAACTGGACAGAAAATAATGCTAATCATGGCTTCAATCATTACTGTTACCTTGACCTGCATGGAGGGGGAAGAATGCGCTGGATTCCATCCACGCTGAAACGCCTGTGCAGCCATCTGTGCTGTTATTTTTATCTGTCAGCAACCTATTCCTACAGAGGTATGCTGTTTCACTGAGCACTAACACTTGCATTTTAATGTAGGTTCCTGTATGAAGGCCATCCGGACTTCAGCTGCCTCCCCACCTTCGGGGTCATTCCCTCCCAGGCAGCTATGATGGATGGTGGTCTGAGCTCAGTCCCTGGACTCAACATAGATTTTACCCAGGTTAGAAAACGTGCATGTTGATGTCTGCTGTGTCTGTATTTGTCCTTGTGTGCAGCTGAGTTTGACTTTTGTTGTTGTTGTACGTACATGTTCGTATCGTACGGGATGCTTTTAATTATGCTAATGCATCCCATCGGCGGTTACGCTTGCATCTCTTTGTCGCATCTTTGCAGCAAGAGCGTGAGGGAGCGATACAAGGATGGATAAGCCGGAGCTGCCGAATGAGAAATGCTTAACACCCCAACATCAGTCTTAAGCGATGTCAGTTAGCTGTGATGCGCCAAACAGCTTAATCACCTGGCCTTTTATATATTTAGATTCCTAACTTTGTTAATGGAGCTGATGATTTATCATCTTCGTCCTATTAGCAGCACCAATCACTGGCGTTTGTTCTTTCTTTGCATTGTTTGCACAATAACGCACCACATAGCTGTCGACAAACGTGTGTATGTTTTAAAAACAAACTTTGTGAGACGCTTCAACACATTAGCGTTAAGTTATCCCATATATTCAAATGTGTTTTCACACCCGGGGTGATGGCACATTGTTTGCATCTCGCCGTCTGACTGTGTTCTGTTTTACTATCTGTTGATCCATATGCACAAACACTACAAAGTAAGCGCTGTAAGAATCAACTGTCACACGGAGGTGAGGAGTTTATGCATCACGCCACTTGATTATAAAAGCTCTTAGTTCCTCCAGAAGCTTCCTCTCTAGTTTCCTCAAGGCAAGTTCATGGATTTAAAAGATCATGGTAGAGAGAGGGGGCGGGGCAGTGACAGTTTCTGAGTATTGGGAGGAGAGGAAATATGAGGAAGCACAAGCTGGCATTAAAGAGCGGGGAAAAAAGCACCCTGTTATAACACTTTACAAAGTCTTGCTTAAAACAGTAACTGAGGCTTTATGCCTCTTATAATTATATGTCGCAACTGATATATTCGTTTTTCTTTTTGTTTGTTTGTTTTCTAGGTGTTGCATGGGGAGCAGTACTTGGAGCTTTACAAACCTCTGCCAACTTCAGGTATTTTCCCTCTGATAATTCTGCAGAAAGAATTGGTTTTTTTTAAATTGCTGGAGAAATTCTGGGAGATGAAGCAGCTTGTTTACAGCTCCTGACTCTGGCAGCTGCCGCTGCTGCCTTCTTGCAGGACTTGCTCACAGCTGCGATGGCGGGCTCTCTGTCCTTGCAGCTGGCTTGCAGCTCTCGGAGCTGGCAGCGGCGTGGAGCTTTGACCTGCCGAGGGTTGGGAGCATGTTTGTAGCTGAAAGCGCATAAGAGACAGAGCGTGAAAGTTGTGTACGGTTTTTGTTTTTTTACAACTTGGCATTTCTGATCATGTGAGGCATTTTGCCGTAGGCCAGATGTGTGCATTCTGTAGCTTTTACAGTTGTTACAGTCTCATTACAAGATATCATTAGATTCAGTTATTTTGGCCATGCCTGCAAATGTTTGTTTGATGTAAAACGCACAAGCAAAGCTCAAGGTTGTCCAGACATGGAATCTACAAAGTATGGTTAAAAACTTCATGAAACGTGAAAACAAAACGTGTCAATCTGCCCACTGAACCCATAAAAGACTGGAAAAATTAACTTACTGAGATTATAACTAAAGTATTTTATATAGCGCTTCCTTGTGGCTCCATGGTGTACTGGTTGACACATTTGCTTTTCACAAGCAAGATCCCTGGTTTTAGACTGGGAGGAAACACAGCCAGCCTTGGGGGCTCAGAAGCTAGTGTACTCCCACTGCCAGTCTCAAGCCTGATAAATAGGAGTGTTGCATCAGCATCCAGCATAAAATCGGTGCCAAATCAAACATGTGGATCCAGCCACTGTGAAAAATGAGGGAGCAGCCGGCGTTGTTGTGATTTAGAATTGAATATCGACTCCAAACATTTATTTCTTTTAGCGTTTAAACATTTCTGCTTATTAAAAGCACTTTTAGAGCCTTTTTGTGTCACTTTAGCCTAAATCACACTGCAGTGGATAACACATTACATACAGCAAGGGACAAGTTTAGGTGTATTTACATGGATGGGTATTTTCAGTCTCATTTTTTTTTTTTATAATGAGTCTAGAAATCTAAACTCTGATATGACCGAGGTTACCTCAAAAGCATTGATGCATTTTGCACGTGTCCTATAACAGGACTAATAGGATTGTGAGGAGCCCAGCTCTGCCTCATGCGTTACCATTACAGAGAACGGCTTTTGTTTTTCTTAAAGATGAATGCCTCAGAGTTTCTCACAGTAGCCGACATGTCCTTGCTTTGTACAAAGTGATCATTAAAAATACTTATTTGAAACCAGATGGTGTTTTTTCTGGTTGTAACACCCAAAACTCTATTTAGTTATCCATTATTTAAGACAAGGAGAAGTAGCACACCCTTGTGAGTCTTGGTGTTTTGGCTTGAAAATTGACTTTAGTAATTAACCTACTGCAGATTAACTTTCTGACTGACTAATCTGTAATTGGAGAATTGAGGATCCAGCACATGCTACAGAGAGGTTTAGAGATTTGTCTCAAGGCTTTTAGAGTTTGTATGTTTACAAAGTATTAATTGACCTTATGTCAGATACTTTGACTTAAAACTAGAGAGGTAATAGTTTGCAGGGCTTGGATTAAATAAATAAATAAATAAATAAAATACATTTTCAGGTAAACTTACCTCTGAGGCCACGATAGCAGACGTGTTGGATAAAGGATCTGGAGCCGTCATCCTCCTGGATGGTAAGGTTTCTTTTTTTCTTTTGCCATATAGGCCAAGCAGGTGATATCATTTACAGTATTTATTCCATATTCATTTGTTTTTACCACTTTAATGTGTTTCTTCCTGAGAGTCGCCTCTAAGGCTGAATTAACACGAGTAAATTTACAGTCTGTGTCTGCAGGGACTGAAATAAGGGACTGAGAGCGGCTCTTATTTTTGTTGGACAAGTCCATAGAGATGGAGGATGTTAGAGCAACTCTGATTTATAATTAATCCAACTTAAAACAAATAGCATGGGACACAAGGTTCCCTGGAGTCTTCACAGAAACGTCTTCATGCACACAAAACCAGTCAGCTTCTGTTAGGATAAAGTCATTTCAGTAAGATGGCCTGTCACAGTCATGTCTCATACAAACAGCTTTGTTTGTCTCTGTGCCTGTTATGTTTTGAATTGACTTAATTAAATTAATCAGGCAGCGCGTCGACTATGAAGAGGATTTGATTCCTTCTGATAGCTGCTAATTGTTCCTCTTCATTTGGCTTCCATGCGGTTATTCGTGCGCTTCCTCCTGCTCTGGCTTGTGTCTGGCTGGTTTGTTTTTACCCCCGTCTGTTTATTATTACAGGTAATGATATGTGTAAGTATGTTGAATTCACCGTCGTTCAGTGTCTTTGCCACACTAGGGATGTTTGTTTAAATGTTTTAATAAGTTTCTCACTGCGTAGAAATCGTGTACTGCACAAGGATGAGTTTAGCTTTCTGAATCTCAAAGACATCTCACTTCAAAACATAAAAAGTCTTCTGGGACTGTTTTGCTGGACGTTAGTTGAACATTCAGATCTATTGATCTGCTGGGTTTTTTTCACACATCTCACAAGAGAAACTATGCAGGGAGTGTCCGTTATCTGGACAAAAGTGTCTTGCTGATGTCAGATAATGGCCAGACCGCTTCAAGCTGATGGAAGAGAAACGTTAACACAAGGAACCATTTGTTAAAATCGGAGGTATGCAGAAAAGCATCTCTGAATGCACAACACTCGAGTGTTGAGTGCCACTCTGGCAAAGAGCAGGAATCTGAGGCTTGCACAGGTTCACCAAAATTGACCAGCAAAAGGTTGCCTGGTCTGAGTGTCGATTTCTTTAGCCACATTCAGACTGTTGGATCAGAATTTGGTGTAAACAACATAAAAGCATGAATCCAATCTAGGGTGTATCATCAGTTCAGGCTGGTGGTAGTATAATGGTGTGGGGATGTTTTCTTGTCACACTTGGCAACAACTGGGCAACATTTAAACGACTTGGCCTACCTGAGGATTGTTGTTGAGCATGTCCATCTTTTTATAACCAGAGTGTCGTCATCTCCTGATGTCTGCTTCCAGCAGGATAATGCAGCAAAGCTCACATCATCTAAAACTGATTTCTTGAACATGTCAATAATTTCATGACCTCCACATTCTTAGGCATGTGGTGGAGCTGGAGATTCAGCTCTTGGATGTGCAGCACCTTGTGATACTATTATATGACCTATATGTAATTATTTCCAGCACAGTACGTTTACAGTAGGGGCTGGGAGTGGTTCTCTGCTGTGAGAGACTGCGAAAATAGTTAAGAAGAACAATATTTCTAATTGTAAGGTATCTACGGTATGCAATATAGTTTATAGATTTGGAGAATCTTAAGGCGTGTGTGTGTGTTTGTATGCAGAGGAAAAGACTGAAACTACTGAGTTATGAAATAATAAAAGGTTGTATTTTATTTTTTTATGTGCAATTCATTGCAGAAGTAAGATTTTGCATGTAGGGCTTTAACATAAAGTGTAGTAGTAGTAGTAGAAGATCATTGTGGATTTGCTTTCCCTTAAGTAAAAGGACATGAATGCTCTCTCTGGCTCTGATATTTGTCATTAACTGCAAGAAATTGTGCTTCCTGCAGTGAATACCTACAGTGGCAACGAGCTGGTGTGCTACAACCAGTTTTCGGTGTTTGTTGTCGGTGCTGGAGGCTTCGGAGGAAAGAGAAGCTCTGAGAAAGCCAAAGTAAGTTTTCTGTATACAAGCTGTTTTACTAAAGGGACAGTATAAGAAAATGTAAAATAAATAAATAAAAATGTTATCACATGTCAAGTGTTTGTTTTGTGCTGCTTCCAGCCTCCTGTTCCTCCTCCTAAACGCTCACCAGATGCTGTTGTGATCGATTCAACCACAAGAGACCAAGTGAGTGAGTCTGTGTGGGTTTTGCCGCACAATAAATTAGCTGCATTTATAATATATGGGTGATATCGTGTGGGTCTGAAATAAACGTGAAGTTTTTCAGAGAGGCAGAAGTGTTTGGGGAGGGGGGGTGTGCTGACTGTGTGATGCAGGGGAAAAAAAGAAGAGGAATTTAAAACTAAATCCCTTAATCCCTTAAGCAATTTAAAGGGCTGTGACTGTATTACTTCAAAGATATTCCTATTTTAGGTATCTCTTCCATTGCCTTCATGATAATTTAATTTCATCCAAGATCTGTGCATGAGAAGTTCAGGGGTTTATGAATTAGATATAGATCTAAACAATTTCTGTTTCCCCTGTGGTCACAGGCTGCCTTGTATCGCCTGAGTGGAGACTGGAACCCTCTTCATATAGACCCCAGCTTTGCTGCTATGGGAGGTTAGAGTCTAACATGTTGGGGTTTTTTTTGGGTTTTTTTTTTAAATTTTGCTTAGGACTTAATCTTTGTCTGGTATTTTGAATGCATTTTGGTCTTATTTAAACGTGACATGCTGTACTCGACGTGCTCTCTGGTCAGGCTTCAAAGCTCCCATCCTGCATGGCCTGTGTTCGTTCGGCTTCGCTGCGAGACACGTCCTCAAGCAGTTCGCCGACAACGACCCCTCCAGGTTCAAGGCCATCAAGGTGAGCGTAACCTGCGATTTTAAACTGTGTGATCCTGCGAATGAGGCTTTCGAGTTCATGCGAAGACTACTTTCGTGATTTCAGAGAATGTCTTACGTTAGTGGTTCCTCTTTGATTTTGAGGGTGAAAAGAGCTGATGAGTGGTTCGTTACTCTGGTCCACCCTCTGTCTAGATGGTTTTCTCTAACAGACAATTACTGACAGATATCATCTGAACCTGTCATTCAGACTGTGCGCAGAGAGGCTTTCTTTAGACGAAGGAAAAAATCATTTGATTTCGATCATCTTTGATTGAGATTGAAGTTTAATATTCCAGAGACAGAATAACCTCAATAAAAATGCAAAAGTAGACCTGCAAAATTAATATTCTGCCATAAAGTATCATCTTCATGGTCGGAAACTTTACCGAGATGTTAGACAGCGTTTAATTTTGGCCACTTGTGCAGCTGCGTCAGCTTCTTTAGACAAATTGCTTTCCAGGTTAACGTCATCCGTTGCACCCGACAGCGTGACAATAGTTTAATATTCTCTTATTCATTCCCATGACGTCTCACACTTCAGTAATGGACTGATTCACATTAACGCAACATTTTATAATCTAATTCTGTGTCAGATTGCTCCCACCTTATTTCCATCACAGCACGGCTCTGCTGTAATGATGTGTCACTGAAGCTTACTTCCTTTTTTTTTTTTTTTTTTTTTTTTTTTTTTTTTTTTTATCTCCGCAATACCGTTGACACTGTTTTATGGTTTCATCATCTGATTTCTGTCACAAGGCCTTTAAGCTTTTTGATGTGAAATTCCTTTTATGCTTTGGAAATATTTTTTTTGTGATGGAAGCTTTTGTGCAAAAAGGAGTGAGAAGTGAAGAGTTAATATGGCTACCATCTCAGAAACCTGTATCTGCAGATCCGCCACCCTCGCTCTCCTTAACCGCCCGCCTTTGCTCCTCAGGTTCGCTTTGTGAAGCCGGTGATGCCGGGTCAGTCACTGCAGACTGAGATGTGGAAGGAAGGCAACAGAGTTCACATCCAGTGCAAAGTGAGTGTCTTTAAGTTTGGCTTGGATACAATCAGAACAATTTTAGGGATGAATGGGTAAATGTTACACTACAGTGAAGTTTCAGCTCCAGTCTCTCTCATCCAGGTGAAGGAGACCGATGCAGTCGTGCTGGCAGGAGCCTATGTGGATTTGCACGGAGCCTCAGGAGCATCTCCAGAAAATCTCTCTCAGGTACATCAGTCGGAAAATACTCCATTCAATTTTACCTAACTCTGTCCTAGAGCACCTGATGTCTTTTTTTCGTATTTGTAGGTAATTTGGACAAAATGAATTTGTACTTGGGACATATCACGATAATGGATCCTGAAAATGAGAATGGACATGAGCTTTTAATGTCATTTCTACTTATTCGTGCAGGGAGGTGGCCTTCAGAGTGAGCTGGTGTTTGCAGAGATCGGCCGTCGTATCAAAGACGTGGGCTCAGAGCTGGTCAAGAAGGTGAACGCTGTGTTCGGCTGGGAGATAACGAAAGATGGGAAGAAAGCGGCACAGTGGAGTAAGTCTACTGAATGCTTTGAGAATAAAAATATAATTTTAGTTCAGGTAACTACATTTGATCATCAGTATAACATAGAGTCAGTTTAATATCAGGTAGCACAGGTAGTCCAGCTCCTCCAGGGTAGCACATCTACATGTGCCGCCTCAAGGCTTTCTGTCTAGTGGAGGAGAGATCATGAGGAGAGCTGGATGGGATTGTACTATAGTGTCAAGTTCCAGTGTTCTACAAAACGACCTTCATCATGACAGTTGCACAATGGCGAGCACAGATCCTTAAATGAAGTGTGTGCTCACAGCCGGGCACCATGCAGCTGTGCAATACCATTCCTTTTCTAGGGGCTGTCTGATTGCTTTGCCAGTGGATCTGTTGCACCAAAGGAGGTCTGATGCAGCGCGGTGGTTGTATCATATTTAGAAGGTCCTGACTTTTATGTGGAATAAATAAATACTACAAACATCCCGTGGAGTATTTTTGCAGATTACACTGTGATCTGCAGTGAGACACGGAAGGAAATCGAAGAGGGCGTGGAGAGGTGGAGGAATAAAAGTCTGTAAGGAAAGGTGTAACAGCGAGAGTTTAAATACCTGAGGTCAACCTTGCAAAGCAACAGACAGTGCACAAGAGGGCTGAAGATGAGAGTGGAGTGGGTGGAGACAAGTATCAGGGGTGATTTGTGACTGGAGGAGTGAAAGGGAAGGTTTCTAAGATGATAGTGAGACCTGCTATGATGTATGGTTTGGACACAGTGTCTCTGACAGAAAGACAGGAGGCGGAGTTGCAGATGTTAACATTTTTGTAAGCAGGATGGAGAAGACTAGAAATGAGTGCATCAGAGGTACAGCTAGAGACAAAGTAAGAGATGAAAGGCTGAGATGGTTTGGATGTGTGCAGAGGAGTAAATATGGAGCTGCCAGGGAGGACGAAAAGAGGAAGACCTCAGAAGATGAATGGATGTAGTGAAGAAGGTCATGCAGAGGGCTGGTGTGAGATGGGGGGAGATGGTGCGCTAGACGACTCTTAAGGGAGCACATGAGTAAAGAATAAGAAATAATAAAGATTTGAACCTTTTACATGCAACTTTTGGAAGTTGGTTCAAGTATTCCAGGCAGATTTATTGTGTTGTAATTGGTCTGCTAAACATATCTGACAAAGGCTGCTGCTCATGTTGCTCGGGTGGTTCGGAGTTCACACATTTAAATTTCCCCAGAGAGGGTTGGGAGTGATTTTTGTGATGGATTTACAAGGCCGCAAACCTCCTGTCAGCATAAAATTGATTGTGCTGCTGCTCACTGGAGTGTCCCGTAGTAAATTTGTGCTCGACTGTCTTCCTCCTCCTTTCTTTTCTCAAAAAAAAAAATCATATGATTGGCTCCCACGCGCACCCATGAAACGAAGGTTAAGACACAGGTCACGGGTTAAATAAGCCGTTCAGGTCAATTTTGAAGCTTTGATTTTGATTTAGCTTTTTTCTTCTGTGCCGTTTTCCTTTAGCCATTGATCTGAAGAGCGGCAGCGGGTCATTGCACAAAGGGCCTTACGGCGGAAAGGCGGATGTGACCATGACTGTGTCGGACGAAGACTTCATGGAGGTGGTGCAGGGGAAGCTCAACCCTCAGAAGGTGACTGTTGAGTCGTAATAAAACAACGTTAATTAGTTGCTGTGTGAAGAATGACCTTGTTTTTATTTATTTTTTTAAAATTCTGCACAGTGACTCACCTGCTTCATGCTCTTTAAAGCTTCTGTGCTCACACTGGTAAATATTTTAGTTAAAGTTTACAAAAACCTGCAGAAATCCTTTTATGACCAAGTGGTTTTGTTTTTAAAAAAAAGCCTCATATTTTAAATCACGTCTTCTTTGGGATGTTAGAATCATTTCTAGTACATTGTAATTAAAGGGAAAGTGCCTTCGAGGAGCCCTTCAGTCTGTAACGACTACCTCCCTGATCTCGTCATGTCAGATTTTTAAAAAAATAATGAATGCAATGATCTATCAGATCAGAAAGCTCTCGGCGGGGGTAATCAATCGGCAGTACTTCCCATCTGTCACTGGCGATGACAGATGGGATGTGGCTACTGTAAAGAATTTATATGCTTCCCGGAGCGCCTGATATTGATCTGAGGAGCGCGTGTGCACGCTCTTAACAAAGAGTGTCATCGGGCTGGGTGCTGCTTTTCCACTCTCCCTCATGATGAAAAGGAGCAGCTGGAGGAAGATTAGTCGATGGGGTTGAAAGGGACACCGCTGTCATTGCAGGGTCATCATAACCCCATCATGTGATTGATTTATTATTATTATTTTTTTTTAAATCTTATCTGTGGAAAGCGGTACAAGTCGGCAGTGGTTCAGTTTTTCCCAGTGAAGGCGCTTCTCTGCTGCACGCTTGGCTCCGTACCTTGTGGATATGAATAATATAATATTCTTTGATTGTTCTGCTGCCAGAGAACCGGTAGCCAAAGATTCCCTTTTGTCCGAGACCTTGTTGGTGTTAGCTGCAGGCGTCTTGGCCCATTTTGCTCTCTCTTTGTTCTTGAAAATGATTAACAGCCAGCCGGCTCCTAAACAGAAGAGACTGTGGCTCTTTGGGAAGAAAAAAAAAATGCTCAAGTGTTTCTTTGTTGTTTTCTTTGTTAGGCCTTCTTCTCTGGCAAGCTGAAGGTTAGAGGGAACATCATGCTGAGTCAGAAGCTGGAGGTTATCCTGAAGGACTACGCCAAGCTGTGAGCTCCTCAGCCAGCCAATCAAATGACTTCAAGAACTGACCAACCTACAAGCTCGCCTTCTCCTTCTGTGTGTGTGTGTGTGTGTGTGTGTGTGTGTGTGTGTGTATACTTTTCCACTCGAGGGAAACACACAAAGTGACCCTGAGAATTAATTCTGAAGTGTCACTAATCAAGTTTCAAAGAGTCTGAAATAAAACGTCTTTATTCTCAGCCATCATGAGGAGAAACTGTAATTCAGAGCACCTGGTTATTTACACCTGGCTACAGTCGGTCCTTGCTAACCTGTGCCTAATGAATCATGTAGAAAATAACCAAAGCATTTCATAAATGTAATTGCTTCACAAAGACTGTGCTCAAATGTGTCTAATGAAACGATTGCTCTTCTATTAAAAAGAACTAAATGAGAATAAAACCTCATCGTTTAACACTTAAATGGCTAAAGATGTCTTGTTTTTTACTTTAATGTATCTACTGACTGTGTTTAGTGTGAATGAGAGACCTCCTGCATCTGCAGCTCTCTTCGCTTCCAGCAGCTTTCCTGATTCACTCTCAACACTCTGTTGTTGTTGTTGTTTTTTGTATTTTTGGCAACGGCAGTACATAAACGCTCTATACCCCCCCCACGCTCCTCATATATGTACCTATACTCAATGGCTAAGGGGCCCCGCAGGGGAAAGCTATAAGATTGTCAGGCTGTTGGAAATGCCACTCCAAATGTCAATGTTGTGTCCAAAAATGTCAGTTATTGTAGGTTAATAAGAACTCACTGACCACTGGAGCAAACATTTTTTATGCCACAGTCCTGTTTTGTTAGTTTTTCTGGCAGGAAATGTGGGACACTGCTGCATTTCTTTGCATGTTAGCCAAACTGCCAACCATGGCACTGAGGAAGACCTGTCTTATGTACAGCGCTCTGGTTTTAAAGTATAGAAAAATACCATAGTTCCTGCAGAATGACAGATTTTCTTCACATCCTTTTTTTAAAACAGTATTTATCCTGTGTTTTTATTGTACAGTCATCTGGAGTTATAAAAATTGAATGAGTGTGAATATAGACGTAAACTTCATGCTGAGACTGATTTTTGTCTGAAACGGTAACAGAACTTTTATTAAAGCATTTACAGCATCTAAACTGAATTTTAATATTTTTTTTTTCCTTTGTGCACCACAGCAGTGGATTTGAAACGAAGCAATCAAGATGTGATTGAAGTGCAGACTTTCAGCTTTAATTCAAGAGGTTTAGCAAAAATAAATTGCAGCCAGGTGTGGCCTGTTTCTTTCATCTTTTCTAACAAATGAAAGGATAGAAGGTCTGAAGGTAATTCTTTGAGCTGAATTTGTTTTGTAGCTGCTCATATTGAAACTCTCATTATGTAGATCCACAAACAAGAAGGCAAAGACTTTGGAAAATCACTAACTGAAGAATGTTACAACATAATCCTTTGTGTAATTCTTCCTCTTCTTTGTAAAAGTACCACCTAAAATAAACATGTAATTTTGCAGTTAAAATCACACATTGATTGTTCATTTCAGGTCTATTGAGGTTTTACACAGAGGCAAAAACTTGGCAGGTGGACCTTGTTGTAATTGCTATAATTACTTTTTTCCCTCCCTTTTTAAAGGAAATGAAGTGATTCAGAGTCGAACCAAAGAGTCACCACCGGCAGCTCTTTAAAAGGAAAAACTGAATTTAATGTATTTTTAGCTGGTGTTGCAGTAAATAAACCGAGAGGTTCACCGAACAAAGCGGAAGAATATATATGGAGCTGGAAATGGGTGTGAAAAAGTTAACCATTATTTATTAAATTCACTTTCATTCATATAGCGCCAAATCACAGTTAAAGTATTTCGTCTCGTTTAAAATGACTTGAATCATCGTTCTTCCCCATTCTGATGCTTAATTTGAACTTCAGCTGGTCATCGTTGCCATGTCTGTGTACCTAAATGGATCGACTCGATGCCTACGATTGGCTGATTAGATCAATATACAGATTAACAGGTGTAACTAAGTGAATACCGATATGATTGTGTATTGCAATGCTCTGACATCACAGAACACATCTGCTCGTGTTATACAATCCTTTAATTACATCAGTACATTTTCCTGTTTATAATACACTGATTTATACAATATCTCTACTATAAAATTAGAATAATCTGATCAAATTCACATTTTCAATATGCAGGTGTTTTTAAAGCTTGCATATTTGATATGACGATCCGCTTCTTTGTGATCAAGCCAAGTGAGTTTTTTCTTCATCTACGATTTTAACGTTAATAAAGAGAATCTGAAATCTTCCAGTCTTTGAAAGAATAATGAGAAGTATTAGATTAAAAAAAACAACAACAATTATTTATTCTCCAGTGTCTGTTCGAGCAGATATCGTTTGGCTTTGATAAAACTCATTTTATTGTCCTTCTGCTGCAGGAGTACAAAGGAATCTCCAAACACTTTAATTGGTGTGAAAAACAAAAATAGTCCACATCAGAAAAACAAAAAACCCCAGAACAAAACAAAAGGAAACAATGACGAGAAAAGAAAAATTAGTAAGATTACATCTGCTGCCTGAACAGTATAATTCTAAATATGAACATTTTCATAAATATACCTGTTTGTACACAATGATTTTCTTCATAAAGTGGCTTTCGTCGTTACCTACCGCTAATCTACGACTAATCGTTGCGATTATGCAGGTATTATCAGAAGCTAGTTCATGGATCTTTATATTTACACACGCAGTATGTAACTGTGATCAACCTGCTTTATATAAAAGGTTTTCTATACTTCATCCACCCTGAAATCAAAGCTAATCTCTATTTGCTTCCCTACAGCAGCAAAACAAGGCTCTATGGGCAGTTAGCTTACTGGATTAACAGTTTGTAAGAGCCTCTTCCTTAGTCAAGTGGAAGACGCATCATGTGATACAACAGCCTAGATTGTATTTTCCAAACATGTACTGAAGGCAATGAGCTGCATTTGGATGATATAAAAAGAAGTTAAAGAATTTTTAAAAAGATAATTGATAATTAAGTGTGACAAAAGAAGAAGTAAATCTAATCAAATTAAAATAAAGGCAAATTATTCAAAAGACATCTGTCAATCATGGTCCATGTGAAAAATTAGAGCTAGGAGTCGATGAAAGGGAGGTGCAGGGTAACCGGAATAAAACATTTCCACAGCAAAACTAAATCTCCATAAAATTTGAACCCCTCCCCCTCAAAAAACCCTTTCCATTGCCAACAGCAAAGCTTCCTGCTACATGATCGGAAGCTTAACATTTCCAAAAACAAAACTCACCCAGAGGTGGTGTTCTGACGGCCCCTATCAATGTGTTAAATTGAAGCTACCTTGTGCAACCGATTATCAATAATAAACAACATGAGCAGAACCAGCAGTCCTAGTACTGTGCCATGTTGGCAGAAGTAGCCTTCAGAGATTTAAGGACACTTAATATTGAATGAATACCTCTGGTTCTAGGCCGAGATGAACAAATATCTCATTACGTATTGTCATCATCTCATCACCTAAGACCATGCCTGCCTTCTATCCTTATATTCATAACACTACATATAATTTAGCTTAGTTTTTACGTGCAAATACACAAAAATCTGGCACAATCAGACAGCCCACTGGGTGGTGGCACGCATACACCGATCAGCCACAACATTAAACCATCCAAAAAGACCGAAACAGTTTCCCAAAGCTGCTCAGATGAACAGCTCTGACCGGCTGAGGGATGGAGCGAGTGGTTTTGGGTCGGTGCAGCGGATCCTTCGGGTCCTGTAGGGTTGTGAGTTTGGGGCGGAGGGGTGGCCCCCGAGGATGAGGCTTGTTCTGGTGGCAGATCACATTGGAATCTGGGTGTCTGGGCTCTTTTCCAAGTTCTTCATGCTGTTCCTGAGCGGTATTTGTGGTGGCTTCTGGGAGGAGACGCTGGGGAGTGAGGGCGGTGTGCTTGCATGGTTGGTGTGTGTAAAAAACAAACAAACAAACCAAAAAAAACAGAGGTTTCCCGGCAGAGCATGGATGATGAATGCTACTCACGTCACGTGAGAGTGGTTTAAATGTACCAAATCCTGCTAGCCTGGTTAAGGAGCAGCTCAACATTTTGGAAAACACTTGCTTTCTGACAGCGTTCGACCACTTTCATGTCTGTCTGTTAAAAATAAAGACAGCCCTGATGTGGAAACTATTGGCTTCGTCTAGCAGTAACAAAATCAGCCAAGGAGCACTTGTACTGCTCTCCGATGGTGTGTATGAAGGTAAAAAGCGTCAATATGCCAGACTCTTCTTTAACGGACGGAGCTAATTACCTATGAGTGCGTGGATCCCAGGAAAGTGTGTGCTGATCGGCTGATTTTGTGACCGTTATTAGCAGTTTCCCCATTTCTGGTTTTTGTTCTAAGCCACCCAGCAGCTCGCTGAAGGCTCATATTTAAGCGGACAAACACGAGAGTAGTCTAAAACTGTCGCGTAAGGTCTGTATCAGAAAACGAATGAGAGAATCTCCCAAATATGTTAAGCCGCTGCTTTAAATTCATGAACCATGTTTATTGGTACCATAGTTATAAATCCTGCGTTCATTTCAATTGCAGCTGGGTTACAGAAAGGTGCCTAAAACTAAACACAGCAGCAACATAACACTAGGAGGCTGTGAAGCGTCTTGATCCTCTGCTACTCCAACCAAGCTGGTTTATCTGGAGCACCAGAACTGGATATGATGTGCTTTGAACGTCCACCGACTGTTCCGCTTTGTGCCAAGGGCTCTGAAAGTGATCACCTGAATGCTTCCAGAAGAGCTTTTGCCATCATCACAACTGATTTCCTAATACAAACTAAAACGTATCTTGTATAAGTGAAACAATGCTGCAGGTTTAGACTTCACACCTGCTCCTACAGCTTTCACTTCCTGTGCAAAAAGTGCTCTCCGTGTGTTGTTCGGTGGAGACAGAGATGGCTGTTTTGTGCAGAGTCTCCAGCTGCTTATTTTGTCTCTCCTTCAGCTGATTCTGACTGAAGGTGTCCCGTGCACATTAGCCTGCATTTGCCTTTCTCTACATTTTAAAACACTTGTAAAAGCTCCTGTGTTTGGTTAGCTTTAAAGTCAAATTTGGATTCAGGTGGATCACAACAGGTGATACAGCACGGTCACGCCCGATCAACCGGCGAGCGCTCCCTTCTGTGAAAGTCTATAAATCCTAGAAATGAATCAGTTGCCATTTTTCCAATCACGTATGACACGCAATTCACAAATCGTGCCTCTGCTCACATAAACTGTTTTAATGCCACACTTTTCTGTCTATATGAAGAATTTCACATCATTCTTGAGGTTGCCGTGGTTGTTGTTCGTAACGCTGAAGCGGTTCGGGAGGATCCTCATCTTCATGGTACCGTCGGCGCCGCAGGAGAAGATGTAGTTAGCTGGTCCCACT